GTACTACAGCTTCCACAGATGACATTTTTATGGATTTATTGTCAAAGCACTTAAGATAATCATTGCTATCGGGATGTTAAGAGCATTCCATGGAATATAACAAAAAGTGTATCTCGAGCCGGTTTCTCAAAATTACACCACCTTTATCTATGGTTTGTGTTGGAATAAGTCTAAACACATTTTTTGCTGGAGACACAAACAAGATGGGACCAAACCGAAAGCAGTTCAGCACTAAACTTCAGGCCTTCCTTTAGTTTCGCCAATGCTGTTTTTCATATTCATGAAGTAGATCTGTAATACAGTGCTGGTATAGTGTTTTGTAATGGAGATATGTGAGGCACTCAGACAAAGTTCATCAGTTCGTTTTCAGAATTATTTTCTTCTTAAATCTTAGATTTTTTGTGTATTATTTTGGCATTTTAGAAAGTAGAAGTCCTGCCCGTAGTTACAGTACATTATGATAATACAATATGTCCAACTGTAAGTTTGTTGCTTCTTTATATTCAAAATGAACTTTTTGATCTCCATCTGATGCCTGTATTTAACTCCAGATAGCCTGTTTTGCCTTAATCTGCCTAAAAATTACACTGTATGTACAAAACGTGTAAAGGTTGTATTGATATTGTGCCTCTCCAATGTTTTCAATGTAATTTGAGACTGTTCAAATGTTTTTTGTAGACACATAGCGTAATATCACTTGTGTCTTTTCCATTTATTAATCTAAAGTGCTTTATACTGTATTTTTATTTATAGAATAATGTGATGAGCAAGGTGATGATTGTTGTGTGATTTCAGTTCTTTTTGAACCTGGTTTATGTAGTAGTAAGATGTGTATACATTAATGATGGTAAATAACATATTTTATCTTTGTGCTTCTTGTCGTTCCTGGAGGTTAAACATGAATATGACCAAACAAACTCAACATCATATATATTGCGTTAAATTCCACTATCTGTATTACAACAGGTATTTTCTTTCTCGAATGTTACATATGTAGCAGACCACATAAGAGGGTTTTCTTTTGTAAATCTCCATATGGTGATCTTCATGTCTTTGTGATGGCTGTTGCCTGTTGCTGCTCACCGCTATTAGATATTCTAATTAACAAGCTAATTTGCAATATCCAGAACCCATCAACATACAGGGGGAATAGAGCAGCCTCTACACACACACACACACACACACACACACACACACACACACACACACACACACACACACACACACACACACACACACACACACAAACATAATCAACTTCTTAGATTTAAAAAAAAAAGTGCAATCTCCTGAAGGATGACAGGTATGAAGGTAAACGAGAGGACGAGAGGAGAAAGTGGTTTGAAACATATGATCCCCATTGAGCTGCTGGTTGACGGACGTGCAGATCAAAGCCCTTTTGTGTCACTGACTGCCATTGAAGTAGAGAGCAGGAGGAACATAAAAGAGACACTGCTAAATAGACAGTATCTTCTCTACCTGACATGAACAGCTCGACAAACAGTATATTAAAGGACAACATGACTGATACGTGTTGCAGTGAGTGCGGCCATTAATCATACTAATACTACCTCTGGATTTAAAGGTGCTTTTCCTTATTAAAAACATTAAACCTATCAGTGTCCATTCTTGATTTATGTAAGCATAAAGCCAGTTTAATCCAGTTTAAATATCTTCGTTCTCTGAGTTCATGCCGTAATGAAATGTTTTTTTGTTTTGATTAATATTTCCAGCAAGCCTCCAGTTTTAATTTCAGGTCGGCGTGAGTGGCATTTCCTAAGATTCATTAAGCTTCTCTGGCATGTAGTTAAGAACCATAAGTGTTTGTAATGGTGTGCACTCTTAAATTCTATAGAGGATGAAGGTAAAGGCCATATACATCACTCATGCAGATTAATTATATAAGGATATAACCGCAAGGAGCTTGACCTTTTTATCTTTTCTTCATTGCTCTTTGACATTTCAGATATGGGGAAATGTGACGAAGGCCTCCCACTTGTTTGATGGTTAGCAGTAAGAGAAAAAGATTGTGTACGCTCTGAATTTACACAGTCAAGCTATCTCAAAACACCAGAAGCTTTCAGGAACAGTCAGAGCTGCAGAAAGGCCTGAACAATTCCTTTAACACTGGCAGAGTAAAAAATAACATGCAAGAGCTGAACAAATTAACCAATCATTAATTTGTCGGAGTTTTTTTAATAAACATTGAACATTAAAAAGATCAGGCAGTTCAGGGAGAATCGAAGGCAGGCAGGCAGCTTTGCATGACACTCTTCTGGACGTGTTTCATTGTGTTGATAGTGAGGGTAGTCAATCCCTTGTTTGGCAAGACAGTAAGGACGGCCATCTTGGTGACGTGTGTTGTTGTGCGAGACCAGAGATGTAGTTCATTGAGATGTTTCACACAAAAAAAGTCTTACTTCACAGTTTTAGGGCAAAACTATTTTTTTTTACTTGCAAAATTATCTTTAAATTGACAAACATATATGTGTAATTCGTGGCACAATTCAAACGGGATCGAAAGATAACTTTTCTCTCTCCATTGACTTCAATACATAATTTTTCCGAAATAAGGTCCCATGGAGGTCCACCGGAAAGGGAGGGACTTCGCCTCTCTATTTTCACCCTATAGGGCTATGAAATGAGTAACACTAATGACAGACTTGAAAGACGCACGTAAAATTGAAAGATAAAATGACATCTTTAACAAACAAAGTAAGAAGTATCTGACTTATGTCTTTGTCCACTGCACTGCCTCAAATGATCTCTTGTTACAGGAAGCTCTTCAGAGACAGTACATTATTTCAAAAATAAAAGCGTTTTGTGTAGCAGTAACACCAATGACGTAATTTTGGGTGACTGACATTTATTTGATATTATTAATAATAATTTGCGTTTTTCTTTTTACCATTTCAGTGTTATATTTAATGTATGTAATGTTATGTACATGTGAATGAGATTTATTTATTGAAAAATAAATATTTTAAATGAAAACTAGGCTCCACTTCCATGTATGATCAAAGTGACAAGGCAGTTCCTTGAACTTGGCATTTTAAATCAATTGCAATTTATTAATAAATACTTTTTTTTAATGTATTTATTTAGTACCATTGCAAAGACAATCTATTTATTCAACAATAATTAATATGAGTATTAGGTCAACGTCATGTATTTTGTTGTCTGCAAAAGTAAGTGACAGTTCTTCCACCATTTTTGTAGAATGAGAGATCCAGTCTCAGAGCCGTAACCGTATAGCAGATCCAGAGATCCAGTTGATTGTTGATAGGGCTTGACAAAATCCCATATTGAATTATGGTTGTATTGCTTTAAATAATGAATTTGTGTATGGTTTCAGGCTGACATAAAGACGACTGTGTCCATAGAACTTGAAGAAAACCTGAGTCATGAACTTTATAATGTCAGGAAACCCATGAAAGAGACCCTTAGGGCTTTTGAAAAAAGTTAACTTCATGTTTGACCGACTGCATTGACGAGAGATTTAAGAAGACCTTCCCGTAAGAAATTACTTAATAAACAAATAAAACCCTTTGTAGCATAAATTGTGTTTTACAATACATTTAAATACATTATTGAAATACAAACTTGTTAAGGCCTTATGAATTTAAGCATTTCTTTTTGTTAATATGTTTTAGAAATGAAAGAAGCAGTGGACCATTCAACGGGGTCATCAATAAGTTTTCACTTGGCACAGAGAAGCTGATGAATAAAAAGGAGTGCGAAAATGTCAAACTGCAGCTGACATTTCTCAAGACAGAGGTAAAAGACCCTATTCATTAGTCCATTATCAGATATGTTTGTCCAGGCAAGGGAGACTGTAGTGGAAGGGTTAGAAATATAATTAAATATAATACATAATGATCAGTCAACATATTCATATACAATGTACTGGAATAACTCATGAACTGGAGATGGCTATGAAAAATTAACTGCAGCTGTAAATCTGACCCTTCCCCAAGTCATGAAGACACACTCAAGATTACAATAGCATATTCTGATATTGGGCAAAGTGCACCCCCAGCTGGTGAACAGGTCCTATCAGTTTGAATAATGTACTGCTTTTCCAGGTAAAATCTGGAAAAAATAATAAAGGGAAAGATGAGACTTGTTTGTAACTTATTGATTTTAAAATATAATAATATCTGCTTCACATTTTCTCTCTAAGGAAGAAAAAATGAAAACAAATCTCAACAAACTCATCCGTGAGCGTAAGAAAACGATCTACAGCAGCTTGACAACAACAATCGAGGAGACCATGAAACCATGCTATGACAGTAAGATAGAAGATCCCTACAGACATAGAAATACACTTCTACACATTTTTTATCAATGTTTATCCATGACTTTTGGTCATCATTTACATTCAGAGACACACAAACATAATCAACTTCTTAGATTTAAAAAAAAAAGTGCAATC